AGTCACTGGGTCTCAGGTCCCCAGGGAGGAGGAGGCCCTTGCCCGCTGCTCCAGAGCAAGGGCAGCGCCCTGAGGGTGCAACTGTGTGAGTCAGGGTCTCCGCCCTGAGTGGGGCCTCGCACTAACGCTCAGTCAATACTTGTTGAAAGATGAGTGAATGAATGATCAAGTGCAATAAAGTGACTCACTTGTTTTACTTATTTTTAAGATAGAGCTACGATTTGGGGGAAGGGGAGATGTTAACGTCTAAATAAAGTCCTTGTTGTTTTTTGTTTGTTTTCCCACTTGTTTTAGAGAACAATCTGGTCATGTTACCTCTTTCACCTCCGGTGAGAGTCACGCTGAGGCCTCACCATGCGTCCTGTTCTTCAGCTCCCTGACCGGGTCTCCTACACTAGCCCTCCTACTGCAGCTCCAACCACACTGGCCTCCTTGCTGTCCTCCAAACGCACCAGCAGGCTCCCGCCTCAGGGCCTTTGCACTTGCTGTTCCCCTTGCCTCCCTCTCTCATTTCTTTAGGACTCACTTCAACTGCACCTCCTCAGAGAGGCCCTCACTGACTACTTCATCTAAAATATCACCCTGGCCCTGGCTGGTTTGGCTCAGTGGATAGAGCCTCAGCCTGTGGACGGAAGGGTCCCGGGTTCGATTCCGGTCAAGGGCATGTACCTAGGTTGCAGATTCGATCCCTGGCCCTGGTCAGGGCGCAGGCAGGAGGCAACCAGTCGATGTGTCTCTCTCACAGTGATGCGTCTCTCTCTGTGTCTCTCCCTGTCCCTTCCACTCTCTCTAAAAAATCAATGGAAAAATATCCTCAGGTGAGGATTAATAAAATAAAAGATCATCCTGTTACTCTCTCTCCTCTTATTCTCTCAAAATTTTGTTTGTAACTTATCACCACCCGAAATTACGTTGCCCGCCTATGTGTTTGTGTGCTTACGGCACTTCCTGTCCTATCTGTGTCTGTGGTAAGCTCCATGCGGAGACGGGGTCTGTGCTTGGCTCACTGCTGCATCCCAGTGCTTAGCACCGACCCCGGCACGTACCAGCTGCTCAATAAATCCTTGTTGAACAAAAGAATGAAAGAGAGAGAGAGACGAGAACCTGGACTCTGCCACACAGCAGTCCCTGTGCTATTTGTCTCGAGAGAAAGGAAAACAAGGAACTTTAGTAAAAGAACCAAATTTACTTCAGTTTAAGGCAAATTCCACACAGACTCTCAGACACAGGCACAGGACCAGACAGTGTAGAAACTCCACCATCATGCATGACGGGAAGGGAGCGGTGCCGGCACAGACAGGGTGGGGCCGGTCGCGCCCAGGCACAGGACGTTCAGCGGGCTGCGGAGCCCCATGCGGCAGGAGGGACCGGCATGCATGACCTGCTCCCAGGTGGGGAGAGGCTGGGCAGGGGCTGCGCCCAGGGGTGAGATCACCTTCCTCGCCTTTCCCACGGCCGGGGCAGGGGCTCTGGCCCAGGTGGCAGAGCCCAAGGATTGGAACAGGGTGACCCTAGAGCCAAGACGGCCTGGGGTAGGAGGGTGCACTGGTGGGGGCGGGATGGGGAGGCCGGGCATGGGAGGAATGGACTCTCAGGGCCTCAGAGCGGACGGTCACCCTGAGACCATCTGGTCAACCCTCTTGCTTTACAGATGTGGATACAGCAGGCAGGGGCTGCAGCAGGGCGGGAGCCCAGGACCCTGGCTCCTGTCTGTGGGGGGAAGGGGCTGCGTGGGGGTGCGGGGCTGGGCTTCTCCTGGCCCAGGCCTCTAGGTGGGCAGCGGAGGAGTGGGCACCAAGGACCCTGGGCGGCCTCTGGGGGGAGGTAGGGGTGCCTGGAGCTCAGAGTCAACTGTGGTGCCCACAGGTCACAGGCCAGAGAGAGGCCTGTGGCTGTGTCTAGAACCAGAGTCACGCTGGGCTGGGGGGCATGGAAAAGACCTTGTGCCTGAAAAGCCTCCGTGGCTGGCCCGTTGGGCGATCTACTGTCCACATCACAGCCGCCCCTTCGTGGAGCTGCGGGGTCCCCGCTGCAAGCCAGCGTCCCTGGGAGGGCCCCATGTCCAGGCCTCCTGCCACCCCGTCAGCCTCCGGGGGCTCACTGGGAACAGGGACAGGGTAGGTCCTAGGGTGGGGGTCAGGGCCAGGTAGCAGAGTGGACAGCGCAGGAGGAGGGGAGGGCGCGGGGGCCTGGAGGAGGGAGGTCCAGCCCCGGCTTCAGCGGCGAGAGGAGCAGATGGGACGGGGTGCTGAGGGGCCCCATCAGCCTGACTGCTAACACCTTCCTGGCTGGACTAGAGCCGAGTGTCAGGGGAGGAGGAGAGGAGCAGGGCCCGGAGCCCGCCTCTCCCACCTGTACCCCAGCTCCCCGGGTTTGGGCCATAAGCGAGGCCAGGAACCTGGGAGGGCGTCTCCAGAGGCCCGTCCTCTGCCACATGGGTTCCAAAGGCTGGGCCTGGCGGACTGTGGGGCTCCAGGGGCCCGGGCACCCTTCCCCCGGCCTCCCCAGGCC